ATTCCTTCTGATGTTTAGACTGCTGCTCTGTTAAATCCTGTTTAAAAATATCAACACATACTTGTTCTGGTAGGAATTTAACATCTCTAGATAAAACTATCTTTCTGTCCTCTTTAGTTATCACGGTACTATGTGCAACAAAAGCATGTCCATTTGTAGAATCAGATTTTTGTTTATTTTTAAATTTAAAACAATGTTTTTTGATATGTCCTTTTCTTTTACAATAATTACAAACTGGACCTTTATTATATATACGCTTTTCAGTCTTTGCAACTAGAGCGACTTCACTTTCAGGTTTGCTTTCATTCAATCTTTGCTCATGTAAGCGAAGACGTTCCATTAATGTGGTTACATTTCTATCCGATGCAGGGACAGATTCCCATGCATTTTTGAACTCAAGATAGTTAACAGGCAATGTATTCAGTATTCTGTTTAAGTAAGGACTGAGGCAAAGTACTGCCTTCATTTTTCAATTCTAAGTTTAATTGAGTATACAGTCTTTGTAACTTAGAGACATGCGTAGCTATACTGTCCTCTGGTAACTTTTTATACGTAAATAGCTCGCAGTACAAAAGATCCAGTCTTCTTTCATTTTTCTGTTCATACACAGCATGAAGAGTATCCCACATTTCTTTCGCACTTTTGCAGGTTAAAATGTGCTGTTTCGGCTCTCTGCCTACTGTTGAACCTATTAAATACCTTGCAATTGATTCCTTTTCATGGTATAATTTGAAAGACTTTGGTTCTTCTCCATCTTTTGGTTGTTGCGCTACACCGGTCACATGGTCCTCAACTCCATGTAGGGTTATTTGTAAGTTGATATCGAATTTCCATGAAATCCAATTACCTTCACCCTCCAACTTGTCCACTGTGATTTTATCTAATCGCACAGACATTATTGACAAGTACCTCAAGAAGTTCTGAACAAAAAACTTTCTACCGGAAAAAAAAAAAAAAAAATGGCGGCTGTGACTTGTGGAAATTGTTCTAGTTTTGTACGAATAATTACAATACCATATAAATGGAAAATCAGGCTGGGCCCATAACCTGTTATGATTATTATTGTTATTACACGTCAAATAAATATGTTATTACAAGTCAACTAAATGGATTATTAACGATGGAGAAGAGAAATAAAAAACAACCTTTTTCAGTTCTGTCATTGACACACAAGAAGTTTTTTTTTTTTTTTTTATTTTATAATACCATAAACAAAGTTAGGGTTGCTATATAAAGTTCACAATAAACTATACTTCAACATAAACGTTTCAAAAAAAAGAAAGAAGATGGAAGTTTTCATCCTCTTCCTACAGTTTTAGTAACTTTCCTCTCTACGCAGCGACCTGATCACGTAACGTATGATCATATTTGGCTGGATGTGCGTGAATCCATTAGACCTCTACTCCAATGCTTCACTTGTTACAAATTTGGTCATGGAAGCAATTCCTGCAGAAGTAAGCAAGTTTGTTCCATATGTGCCGGTGCCCATGATTATAGATCCTGTATCAACAAAGAGAATCCTAAATGTGTTAATTGTAATGGACAACATGTAGCAGTATCTAATAGCTGTCCCACTAAATCGATGAAATTGTCTCAAATCAAAGATAAAATTCTAGGCAAAACATCTTATGCATCAGTGACTTCAAAATCGGTTAACTCTGTAATTAATTCAAATACCCCTGTGTCTATTAACAGCTCAACGCAAAATAAATCTCCTCAAAAAAGGGCATTAGTTACTGACATCATTAACTCAGACATTGTACTCAACACAATTACTAAGACTGTTATTGAGCTAGTTAAGAAAGCTCAAACTAATTCTGATACAATTTCATCCAAATTAATTAAGGAAATACTCATATCAAATTTTTCAACATGACCATTACATCTTTAAAGGAAATTAATATTGTTCATTGGAACTCAAGAAGCTTTCTGTCTAAAATGTTTCAATTTAAAAACTTTATTTACAACTTTACATCACATTTTGATATCATTTTACTAAATGAAACTTGGTTTGATTCTAACAAAATCTGTAAATTGTCTAGTTACAATATTGGTTTGAAAAATCTAATGTTTTTCTTGGTAGACAATATTATACTACATTAAGTAGATTGCGGATAGGTCATTGTAAATTTCCTGCACATTTGCAACGTATTAATTTATTGGATAATTCTATCTGTAAATACTGCCAAAACATTTTTTCTGATTTGGATCATATTTTTTTTGTTTGTCCTAAATTCTCACTTCAACGGTTACTTTTTATTTGTCAATGTCAAGATTTATTAAAATGTCAAAATATTCCTATTTCAGTGCAGGATCTACTAAAACATACCATTTTGTATCAAGAAATTTTTAATTATATTACTTCAACAATTGGTGAAATTTAAATATGTAATTGTAACTTATACTTTTCTACTTAACTTACTTTCTTAGTATATTATAATTAATTTATAACTATAATAATTTTTGTAATTTGTCTTGTAATTTTATATTGTTACCTTGTAATTGTTACTTTTTGGCTGATGGCTTTCGCCAAAGTCACAATAAATGAAAAAAAAAAAAAATCTTTGGCAGCAATTGATCTCACCATGGTAGCACTATGTTTATGAAAAGTCGATATTATTCTTATAGTCACAATATCTGAAAATCCTTTATATAACCATCTGGAGATATCCACAATAAATTAATAATTCTCTAGATCGATGTCGATATTTTATAAAGAAACATTAATAAATTCATGTAATTTTATTTACTTTAATGTAAAATCTCAAAATTTCAATTCCATTTGCCTCATAACGAATATTTTTACTTACGTTATAAATAAGATACGGACGATACGTGTAGATTAATAATAGTACTTGTAATAACCGGACAGTACTATTATAATTCTAAATATACAAATAAAGTTGTTTGCCATGGAAAAGTGCCTCAATTTGTTAGAGTTGCAGTTGAATACCTATCATGTTAGAAGTAGATATATATGGAAAGATAGTAATATAAATATATAAGTAAATAGATAAGTAATATAGAACACAATAGATTTAGTTTTTTGGTCCGAGTAATTAACAGCTTATATATAATACAACATACAGTAATTACACAAAACACTAAATCACACTATTATATTGAAATATTATTTAATTTGTAAAGAAAATTTTAGATAAAAGTCAATTTAGAGAACAACGACAAATATTAAGGTTACTAGGCAATAATATTTTTCTTTTTCTATTTTCAAATTTCATTAAAGACTTTATTAATACCTAGTTTGCACCTTAACACAGTTAAGATACAATTTTAATAGCAATTTTTTAATAAAAAATTGATAAATATTAAGTATCTAATCGTTTGCAAATTGTAAGTACGTATAATTAGCATTACGTACTTTGGGTAGATATATTACAGAAACTATGATTACTGATTCCATATTTTAATTAACTTTTTTGTTACAATGCCTACATAATCTCTTTATAATGGCATTTTTTAAGATTTTATGGATGTGTTCGCCTTACATAATAATAACATATAATAGATGCGTTCAATGTCAGTATCCACTGTCATTATAAGGAAACACAGCTTGATATACTTATCTTACTCTTCTAAATCACAGGCAAAGAATAAACTGTTAAAACTAAAGATAATTATAAGCAAGTAAAAAACAGTTTAATCATAGTAATTTAACATTGTGTGCTTGTACTGTTATTTTTTTATTTAAGTGCTTCTTCTTGTCGGGGCAACTATTTCACGTATTCACTTTTAGCCAGCTCTATTTCAGGCCATATCTTTGACTATTATTACTGTACGTAATACTAAGTTTATGATTATTACCATAAAATGGTGTTAATATGAACAATTAGAGACTTCGTTTCATTTTTTTTTTGTACAGTATTATTTGTTTTCTTCTAGTCACAAAAATTAAGGGATATAAAAAAATCCAAATTTTGGGTGATTTTCAACAAGCTGTAACTCCGAGGAAAATGATGGTACAGTAAAAATAAATTGTCATATTTGAGTTTGAGTAGAGTAATCCTAAGAAAACTACCAAAAAAATTTGCAATTTTTTCTAACCTAAAGAAAGGTCTACGGGCTTAAAAAAATTTTTTTTAATGTTTCTTTCAATAGCTCTTTTAGAAAAATTTATGCTCTTTAATTTGACGAAATCAAAAAGCCTGTACGATGATTTGCCGCTAACTTAACGTCAGTCAAAGCAAAAAAGTACTTTTTAACTTTGACAATCATTAACTCTGGAAATAATAATCATATAAGAAATCGAAGCAGGGTTTTAGAAATTATACCATATTCTCTATAAGAAACCATGAATGGCTTTTGTCGAAAACATTGTTTTTGAATTCAAAACATTGACTAATAAAAAGACAAAAATTCGCTGAATTAAGAATATTTGGATTACTTGGGATAAAATGGATAAACGAAGGATATCGTCGGTAATTTTTAACCTCAGTGTCACCTAAAATCGTTGAAAAATTCAAAGCGCTGCGATTTTTTTTAGTGTTCCAAAGCTTCAAATTTTTTTTTGTTTTTTTTTCAATAATTACCACTAGGAGCAATTTTTTTTTTATTAAAAAAAAATTTTCAAAAATCTTTATTTTTCCATTAAAGAGATTGATTTTTTCAAGAGATTTGAAAAAATCAATTTTACTCTTACTCTGTACTCGGTACTCTTACTTATAGGTTATATTAAGTATTAAATATTTATAAACAAGCTTGATTTTTTTTTTTTTATATATCGAATAAACAATATATAAAATGAAGAAAGTGCATAATATTAAAAAGATATACACAAAATGATTTGCTCACTTATTTAATAATATAGTTTGTATAGAAACAATTTATGAAATTGAGAAAATCAGTTTTTTATATCTGTTATGAAATACCAAAGTTTTTTATGACATTAAAAATTGATATCGATAATTTGGATGGAGGCAGATATGAATAGTGGCACAACACTATGAATATTAATTTATTTCATTGTTTCGAAAAGGTAACATACATTCATTTTCTAGGTTTTGTAGACGTAAGACCGCTGCTAATTCTTATAACTTAGTAATTAATTATTATTTTTTATGTTTGTTCCTTATTATAGGTAAAAGGAGGTGACAATTGATTATTGATTGGATGATATATGTTTTCTGAGATTAGATATTTATTAATTAGTTACCGACCTACATTCTGTACAGAAGATATATGACTAAAAGTTTTAGTCCTTGTTCTTAGTTGATTACTACGTGGTACAGAAATGAAATGGATTCTTCATCGATTGTAAGTTTCAATAATGATACATTTCAGTCTACTCTCAAAGGCGATTTTAATAATGTAAGTGTTCATGAACTCGCCTTACATGCAATGCGAGATCGTTGCCTATTACTTCAAAAGAGAATTACTTCATTAGAAAGCGATAATATGCGTTTAAAGTTAGACATCACAAAAGCTACCGAATGTACACCTTATGTTCCTTTGCAAGAAGATGAAAAGTTCATGTTGCATCAGAAAATTGCTGAATTGAATAAACAAAAGTCTCAACTTATGCATCATGTATTTATGGTATCTTGTGAAAATAAAAACCTGTGGAATAAAATAGCTGCAATAAAAGGACCTGACAAACCACCAGGAAAGGAAAATGGTAAACAACCTTTGGTACGCACAAACACATACATTCATAGTACTCCAAAAACTAGTGCTAATTATCAAGAAAAATATTCAGAATCCAGTCTAGAGGAAATATCTTTAAAACTAATTAATAGTTATATACAGGAGAAATCACAACTAGTAGAACAATATGAACAAATGACACAGTTACAAGAATTGGATGATAAAATGCTGAATGTTGACTCTATAGGTTTCACATATATTGAGGAACCAGCATTGGATTCACTTAAAGAAATTCATATCCAAACAGAAAAACTGCAAAATTTAAAAAAAGAGCTTGCTCAACAAGAAGCCGATCTGAAATTTGTACTTTCTAAATTTGAAACAATTTTCAAAGGTGAGTTCCTATTATTTTATTATTATTTTTCAGTCGCCAACTATCCACTGCAGTATATAAGCCTTCCCCATAAGGGGAGTTCTGCCGCACAACCGCAGGAGGGATTTTAAGAGGGATGTTGCTGCCCATCCCTCACCCTCACTTAGTCGCCTGTTATGACACCCTTTGGAAAGGAAGGGGTGTCCCATCCTATGCCAGGGCACAATATATATATCTTTTTAGCTGATTATAAAATGCTTTTACTACTAAATAAACATACAGTATAAATTATATTGAATTATATTGATAAATTCCAAAGTTTTAATTCAACTTAATAATATTGTAAATGTAAAATTTTGTAAGGTGTTTAGATTTTTGTTATTCAATCACATTTAAATGCTTAAACAGATTTGAATGAAATTTGATGCATGGGTAGATTATATTCTGCCTTAACATACAGGATAATTTATATATGTGAATCAGTATTTAGATGGGCAAAGCAGCAGGAAACAACTAGTTATAAATAAACATTTAATATACAATTTCTTATTTTTGTGCTGTCAAAAATTGATTTTTAATTGTTTCACAGTTTAATAAACATATTTTTGTTACAGAAGGCTATAAATGTCAGATGTGTAAAATGAATAATACAAAAACTACAACATCAGAACATAAAGAGATTGAGACTAGTGACAGCTTGGCAAATTGGGCAACTCCTGTGGAATCAACTAATTATAATGAATTAAATTCCTCTGCATTCAAGAAAAATGCCACAGAAAACATCATTAATGACATACCTGTTGATAAAATCTGCCCTATGTGTGGGCAAACATTTCACAGAGATATAAGATTTACAGAATTTCAATCACATGTAGAAAGTCATTTCATTGGTGAAAGTGAAGTAGATTCTGTGATAGATAATTTTGAAAATGTTCCAACCTCTTTTGATAATGTAATATAATTGATTATAATTATATAATTAGATAAATTTATTTAGTAATCTTGGTATTAATATTTATTTTTTATAGTTTTGTTGACTTACAAATATACTATTTAGTCTTAAATTAAAATCAGAAAATGTCCTAGACTGGATGGATACTGATTTTTAGCAAATGTTTGCCTTCCTAAATAGAAATAGCATAAATCACAAATTTGGTGATATTTATTGTAAATAACAATTTAAGCAAGCAAATATGCATATTAATAGAATATAACATAATAATAAGATAACATATAAATAAGAAAAATAATTTAGATTTTTTTCTCAAATTTATTTGCCATTGTCTTTTTTCTTAAGAGGGAATATTTACTTATAACTGTTATTACACTGTTAATTTTATGTTACTTAGTTATACTACACTACATTTATATTTATCCTATCATTGTTTAATAACAAAATATATCTGAAAATTTGTTATGATGCTTACAAGATGAATTACAATATTCTGTCATACCCATAAAAACTTTTAATATTTATTCTAGTTTTATTTGTATATAGCATAGGTATGTAGAGCAAATAATAACTGTTATATATGTAACTACACATCTACAGCTGAACGGTGTGGACTGCCGTTCGGTGAGCGTGGACTGTAGGGGCGTTGGTTCAGGCTGGAGTGAAACACAGGGATTACTATTCTGAAGCCTCCGGTACCGTCTGAAGAGAGTATTTTTTCTTCTTGTCCTATTTCTTCTCGAGTGTAGTGTGTCGCTGCCCGGAAGCGAATGCCGCTCGACGAGAGGCGGCCTATCTTTATACCCGCCCGCTCGCATGATAACGTTTCCAACTCGCGTTAGCGAATCTGCGCGAGCGGGACGGGGCGAGAAAGAACGAGACGCGTGTCTCTTCAGATCGGTACTCTATAGCGTTTATTTATTGCAATTTACAATTTCTTAATTCTATTTATTGTTACAATTTCTATTTCTATTCGTAGGTAATAATGACAACACACAAAGAAATACTTTATTTAACTTACACTATCTTAAATCTATGTAAAATCTATATAAAATAACAGAATACAGAAACGATTAACTAGGGACTTAACAACTATAAATTACGATTACATATATACAAATAATGTCGCGAACATAATCTCCCGCCGCAGCTCTCGTAGCTGGAGTTAACTCGTGTTCGCGTCGCTCGATGTCGATGTGGGCAGTATGATCAGCTTCTTAGTGGGTCGCCGTAGGATGCCCTTGTTCGTCCGCACGTCGACTGCTCGGATCTCGCCGTCTGGTCCAGGGTAGGTCGCCACCACCACGCCTCGCGGCCACGTGTTGCGAGGCAAGGTCCCATCAGCTATCAGGACCAGGTCGTCCATTTTGATGGCTCCGTGTGTAGCTCGGGGCTCCCGCCGGTGTTGCAACTCGGGTAGGTACTCCTTCACCCACCGGTTCCAGAAGCAGTCAGCTAGCCTCTGGCTGGCACGCCACTCCTTGTGTCCCGCCGCGTCGCTCTCTGTGAAGCTGCCTGGCAGTGGGACGCGCGATGGACCGCCCAATATGAAGTGATTGGGGGTTAGGGCGCTGTCGTCGTCTGCCGATGTTGACACGTGGGTTAGCGGTCGACTATTGAGGGTGTGCTCGACCTCGACCAGCAGAGTGTGGAGGACCTCTTCCTTGGGGGCCCGCTCGTTCAACGTAGCGGCTAGTGCGGTCTTCACGCTACGCACCAACCGTTCCCACGCACCTCCCATGAAGGGTGCGCTCGGGGGAATGTAGCGCCACCGGATGAAATGGACTGATGACTCTTCTTGGATGGCTTCCTCGGCTGCTTTCTTCAGTTCGACGTCAGCACCTTTGAGGTTGGTGCCTTGGTCGGACCATAGCTCAGTGGGACACCCTCTGCGGCTTATGAAGCGCCGCAGGGCCATTATGGCGGAGTCCGTGCTGAGGCTGCCGGCGATTTCTAGGTGGACTGCGCGCGTCGTTAGGCAGGTGAAGAGCACTCCGTACCGCTTCTGGTGAGTGCGGCCCACTGTCACGGTCATAGGCCCGAAGTAGTCTAGGCCGGTGAACGTGAACGGTCGTTGATGATGCGCCAACCTGCTATGTGGATGGTTGCCCGTTGATGGCTGCGCCGGTCTTGCTCTTCGTAGGCGGCACAGCTGACACCTCTTCAGTTCACTGCGGACGGCGTGTCGTAGGCGCAACACCCACAAGTGTTGTCGCACCTCGTTCGTGGTGATCTCGAAGCCGCCGTGGTGAAGTTTCCGATGCACCCATGCGATGTATAGGCGCACCCAGGTGTGGTTTCCGTCGACGATGGGGGCTCTCGTTGCTCGGCTGACAAATCGGCGGCGGCCGCTATTCTCGATCGAAGTCGCAGAATGTCGTCGTTGTCTATGACGACCGACAGCTGTATGAGTCGACTGGATGACGGCAGCTGTTTCCCTTGTTTCAATACTGCGATTTCGTCGCCGAACGCCTCTTGTTGTATCGCGCGAATCCATAGCCGTCGCGCGCGATCTAGGTAGTGTGTGTCTATGGGGATGAAACACACAGATGGACTATTGTTGTTCTTGATTTTCATCTTCGTCTTCTCTCTATCGACTTTCTTCGTGCGGGTCCAAGTGGGGTCGGCGCTCTCTTTCTTCTTGTTCCTCTTTCGGATGGCGGTACAGCGTTGACTGGTCGGTCGCAGGAGGTCGATGAACTGCAACACCCGTGCTGAACTGCGAACAAGTTTCAACCAATTAGAAAAACGTGACGGATCGGGTAATGCTATAGACAACTGCGTCGCGTTCTGTAGCTTGTGTACGCGTTCTTCTCCCGTTTCCGCTTGACTATCGTCGCTCGTACTATCTTCACGCGGCCACTGCTCTTCGGGGAGGTACAGGAAGTCCGGCCCACGGAACCATCTATGCTGCGAGCCGAAGTCCGTCGGTGGGTCGCGTGTGGCGTCGTCTGCTACGTTGTGCCGCGTCGGTATCCATCTCCACTCGTTCGTCTTCGTTTCTTCGACGATCTCGGCGACTCTATGCGCGACGAACGGCTTGTATGCGCGAGGACCGGTGCGTAGCCATGCGAGCACGGTGCGTGAGTCCGACCAGTATACTCGGCGAGCGGGCTTCAGGTCGTGTTCTTCGACTGCCGTGCGCGATAGGCGACACCCGAGGACGGCCGCTTGCAGCTCCAGTCGCGGTATCGTGGTCACCTTGCTGAGTGGGGCCACTCGTCCCTTTGCCGCGATCAGCGACACGTGGACCTCGCCGGTCGCGCTTACGGCCCGCCAGTACACCGCACAGGCGTACGCGTCCGAGCTGGCGTCGACGAATGTATGCAGCTCCGCTGTATCGGCCGTGGCTACCTCCGGGTAGCACCGCGGCACCTCCAGCGCGGACAGCCGTCGCACGTGGTCCATCCAGCTCCGCCAGGCGTCCGCTTCCCGTGGTTGCAGCTCGGTGTCCCAGTCGATACCGGTACGCCACGTCTCCTGCAATATCTTCTTCGCCTGTATGGTGATGGGAGTGGCGAGGCCCAGTGGATCGAACAGCGACATGATTGCGCTTCCCTCTTCGTCGGCGTCTGTTCCCCGCTGGCTATCTGTGGCGGAAGCTTGTGTCCGTTGAAGTTGAAGCCTAAGGTGTCTTCAGAAGGTCGCCATACCATCCCCAGTATCTTCTCCGCGTCGAGTTGTACCACGCTGTCCCCGCCGGTGTCGGAGAACGCGGCGCGCACTTGATGCGAGTTCGACGCCCACCGTTGGAGATAGTAGTTGGCTCGACCGTGGATCTGTGCGACCTGTCTTGAGACGCGTACGGCTTGCTCTTCCGTGTCGAAGCTGGCGAGGTAGTCGTCGACGTAGTGGTTCATGACCACCGCCGTTGCTGCCTCCGGGAACTCTTCCTTGTACTGTTCTGCGTTCTTGTTCTTGACGTAGATCGCTGTACACGGTGACGATGTTGCGCCGAATATGACACTCTTCATCCTATATTCCACAGGTGGACCCTCTCGTCGATCTCCTCGCCACAGGAACCGTTGCATGTCCCTATCTTCTTCCCGTATGGTGACCCGCATGAACATGTCCTTTATGTCCGCCGTGACTGCCACCCGTCGTTGCCGGAACCGCATGAGGACCCCCGGTAGCGATTGAAGTAAGTCGGGGCCCGGCAGCAGCATGTCGTTCAAACTGATGCCCTTCGTCTTGGCTGCTGCGTCGTGTACGATCCGCAGTTTCCCCGGTTTCTGCGGGTTGATGACGGCGAAGTGTGGCAGGTACCACACCCGTTGGGAACTCCGTGGCGGGGCGACTTCAGCATACCCGTTCTTGAGTAGCGTGTCCATTTGTTGTTCATACCTCTTCTTAATTTCTTCATTCTTGTCGAGTTTCCTTTCGACCAGTTGGAGACGTCGCATTGCCGATTCGTAGTTGTCCGGCGGCACAGGGTCGTCCTTCTTCCATAGTAACCCCGTCTCGTATCCTCCCGCCGGTAACGGACGAGTTTTCTCTTCTAAAATGCGTAGGGCGCGACGTTCCTCTTCATTGTAAGACCTCTTCGGTGCGATTCCCAGCGATTCGAGCGCGAAATGTTGCTTCATCATTTCTTCCATCGATTGTTCCTCTTCATGTGTCGTCACTATGTGGCTGATTCTGTGCACCTGCTGTCTTGTCCTGCCGCGACTCGTACCGTGCAGTACCCATCCCAGGTCGGTGAGTGATGCGACCGGCTGCGTGTCGGATCCTCTTCTGACTTCGTGGGCCAGCAGTAGGTGCCAGTTGTCTTGCCCCAACAGTACCGTCGGTTTGCCCTCTTCGTAGACCAATTCCCTCTCTATGTCCCGCAGATGTGGACAGCCCTTGATGACGCTGCGCGGTACCGACTGCGGTGATAACTGCAGTCTGTCCATCGTCCGTGCCCCCACTGTGTATTCTTGTGAATTCCGCCCGCGGATCTTGAAGTGAACACGCGTCGATTGAGCTGCGTTGATCCGTGCCCCGGCCACACCTTCCATGTAGAATGGTGCGGGGGGACCCGTAGCACCGATTCGCTCCGCCACCGTCGTCTCGATGATGGTGCAAGTCGACCCGTCGTCCAGTAGCGCGTAGGTGTCGCACGTTCCCGTGGGACCGGTGATTCGTATCGGCAGGATCTTCAGGAACGCGATCTTGTCGTTTTCCCTTGCCGATGCGGTGACTGCGGCGGACTTGTCCTCGACGACGTGTGTTGTTACTTCATTCTCCGGCTGTTGTCGCGTGGTGTGCAGCAGAGGGTGATGAGTCTGCGTGCACTCATCTACTCCACATCTCTTGCTCTTGCAGGCGTGGCGAAATCTTCTCACTTTGAGGCAACGGAAACACAGCCTATGAGTCTTCGCTAGCTCCCATCTCGCCGATGTGTCTGCTTCCTTCATCGTCTTGCAGTCCGATGGAGCGTGTCCCTCTCGTCGACACATCGGGCACGGTGGTGTAGCGGGTTTCTCCTGCGTCGTGTATGTCTTCGCCGTCTTCCTAGGAGCGGACTCCCGCCGGTCTTCGGACGGTATCTCCTCGGCGGGGGCGAAGTTTCCACATCGTGCGGCGGTCCTTTGCAGGAACTGAGAGAGTGTTATGAGGTCCGGTTGTCCCTCCGGTTGGTCGTTGGCGAAATCGTAGTACTTGAAGCGTAGTACCGACGGCATCTTCTCTGTGACGTTTCTCACTATTTCTTCGTTGTAGAGGTAGTGACTCTTGTTCAGCGCTCGTATCGTGGCGACGACGTTCTGCACCTTGCTTGCGAAGAGGCAGACGTCTCTTGCGTTGTCCGAGAGTCGTGGTAGCGCGCGGAGTTTGTTCAGTTCGGCTGTGACGAGTGCTCCAGGGCGGCCGAACCTCGCGGCTAACATCTTCATTACTTCTTCTGCGGTCGTAGACCCGACGAATAGGGAGCGTGCCGCGTCCTTTGCGGCCCCCTTCAAACTTCTGCGCAGTCTTGCTAGGTTCTCTTGTTCTGTGAGTTGACTTGCGCTCTCTTCATAGGCCATCTTCCATGGTAACCACTCGCTCGACGATCCATTGAAGACTGGCAACTCGGTGACTCTTGACGCTGTGGAGGGCAGTATGTTGCGAGCGGCCATCTGCATGGCGATCGCAAACTCATTACAATCGATGCCCACCTTCAGCACCGGTTCTTCTTTCTTCATCGACTGCATCGCTGCTGCTATCGTAGGAATCGCGGCATGTGGGTCAACGTGGCGTGCGTGGTCCCGGTGAAGTGCGTCGCTGCTCGGCTGTGGCGGCGGCGCTCTCGAATCCTCTTCAACGGGTCTCGATGGGACGAACCCCTGACGCTTGCCGGTGACTTCTTCTATCTCTGGTACATGCGGCTCCATTGTGAGTGCCAGCGTGCTTCGACGAACCCAATCCGACGTTCGTTCTCTTCTGACGGTAGCGTCGTCGTCTTCTACTTCCTCGTCGTCCTCTGATTCGGCTTCCAGGGCGGCGACACGTGCGGCGGCCAATTCCACCTCCTTTCGAAGTAGCTCCTCCCGTGCCTTGGCCAGAGCCTTCTTCTTCTGCGAGGCCGTGGTGCGAACCGTGCGTGCCGTGCCGTGCTTCGGTTCCTTCTTCCTTGCTGTCTCCTCTGTCGTTCCTGTGGCTTCGGTAGTCTCCGTGGCTCCTGTGGTCGTCGTATCGCCGGACGTGTTCGTAGTCGATGTGGTGGCAGCGGTAGACGACGTGGCAGCGACAGAAGGCATTCTGACAGCCGCAGACGACGTGGTGGCAGCAACGGACGGCGTGGCAGCGACGGACAGCGTTCCGGCGGCCGTAGTCGACGTGGCGGCGGACGTTGTGGCTTCGGTGACGGCGACTTTTTGTTGCGACGACTTCATGTTTCTCGTAGTCGGCATTTCAGCGATCCGGCTTCAGAATGGTCTTCCTCCAGCGATCCGGCTTCTCGATGTACCAACGGTGTTCCTCCAGCAATCCGGCTTCTCGAAGGACCACGATGAACGGTGTGGACTGCCGTTCGGTGAGCGTGGACTGTAGGGGCGTTGGTTCAGGCTGGAGTGAAACACAGGGATTACTATTCTGAAGCCTCCGGTACCGTCTGAAGAGAGTATTTTTTCTTCTTGTCCTATTTCTTCTCGAGTGTAGTGTGTCGCTGCCCGGAAGCGAATGCCGCTCGACGAGAGGCGGCCTATCTTTATACCCGCCCGCTCGCATGATAACGTTTCCAACTCGCGTTAGCGAATCTGCGCGAGCGGGACGGGGCGAGAAAGAACGAGACGCGTGTCTCTTCAGATCGGTACTCTATAGCGTTTATTTATTGCAATTTACAATTTCTTAATTCTATTTATTGTTACAATTTCTATTTCTATTCGTAGGTAATAATGACAACACACAAAGAAATACTTTATTTAACTTACACTATCTTAAATCTATGTAAAATCTATATAAAATAACAGAATACAGAAACGATTAACTAGGGACTTAACAACTATAAATTACGATTACATATATACAAATAATGTCGCGAACAACAGCAATTAATTGAATTTCGAGTGCAATTGTCCCAAACTTAGCAGTTAAGGTTAAGTAAAAATTATTTTTAAGTATAGATTAATAATAATAATTAAAAGTGTGTAAAAATGGCAAACAAGCTACCAGCCCACCTGCAAAGTGGTAACCGTCGCCTATAGACATGAACAGTACCATGGACATAATATACTATTTCGTCCATGACACACGCAATGCATTGCCATTCTTGAGGACTCAGGTGTTATTCCTCTGTACCCAGTAAATTCACTGCCATATCCCACCTTTCAAACCGAAACACAGCCATGTAAATACAACTGCTTCAGGGGAGATTGTTAGTAATAGAGACTGAGAATCCCATTGCTAGCAATGTTGGGGACAGAGGTATCCAAGCAAACGACTTTTGTACAGTCTCTGGTTTTAATCACATTCCTTATTAATTTAGTATTCATTGTTATATGTATGTATAAAGACACATGTTTTCTCCTGAATGACATAATTTCTATTAAAATAAAACCCTGTATCGTTGTATCTAGGTAGAAATAATAAAACATGTGTTAACTAATAAGTATATAATTCACTTTATATTTTATCTACACTTTTTCTAGTGACAATTAAGCCAGATCCGTTGGCTTTACATCAGTGGAGGTAGATGGCTGCTGAGTTGATTTTTGTAACAGATTCCTACTGAACCATTGTGGTCTTTCTTTCTTCATCTCTATTATCCTTTTACCCTTCCAAAATTCATTAGGCTGTAAATGACAACAATATTATATATATAAGATAAATATAAAGATAAATTAGTATTTAAAATAGGTACTTAGGCCAACAGAATATATTAAGTGTAAGGCTGTTCACTGACATCGCGATATTTTTCTTACTTTTAGCATTTTTATATCCATCGTAACTTCTAAAGAAAGTCTGATTCGAAATCGATCTAGATTATAAAATTATTAAGTAGGATAATTTAATTTTATTAGTCAGATATATCGCGGATATTTTTGTGGACAGTGATAAGTACTATAAACATGTAGTACATTATTAATTATTTTATATATTATCAATAGTTTTTATAGAGTGCGTTATAATAATAAAATACATTCAGTAGTAATTAATAGGTAGTTTTGTAGGCAAATTTTTGAAACATGTTGGGTTACATTATTGAAATTTTCATAGGGATTTAATTTTTTTTAGATAATATATTAGCCTCTTACTCGGTTTCTATAGGTGAAAGGATTATTAAATAGTTTTGGATAAACCATTACAACTAAAAGAAACATTAAAATCTAAATATTTTTTTTTATCCTTTTAACTCAAAACTAAAAATTAAACTAATGAATTAGAAAATCTTTTAAATCAATTTAAAATATATATAAAAAATTCAATGAATGGGTTCATTTATTAACATTCTGTATAATAATAAAATTATTAAAAATTATTATCACAATGGCGTACAGTAGTCCCTATAACTAGCATCCGTTAATGAGCATGATAGTAGTTGACAATATGGTCTTTTTCCACGAAACATTCAAACAATGGATAGCTGAGATCCATAAAATATTTTATGTATGCATATGTTTATATAAGATAATAACACCATTTTCCCTGATGTGTGAACATGACAGTCTCACTTGGGCCAGGTGCTGTATACATGGTGCCTAAATTAGTGGATACTCACTTGATCTGGCAAATTTTCTCCCTCATACAGCACTATAACATCTTTGTCAATAGGAGTTTTTGCTAATTTTTCTTGAATTTTTTCTTTGATTTCATTAGTTTCCATCTCCACTTTTTTATAACAATTTCCTGGAAAATATTCAAAAGTCAGTTTTCTAGATATATGACTATAATTTAAAAACATCTAGTAGTTACTAAATATTATTACTCAACAAATGTTATGAAAGAAAAATTAACGTTTCTGTTTAGAAACATGAATCATTCAGATATTATTCCTTTTCCTTTATTTTGTAACTATATTGATACTAGTTAAATGTTGAAAAAACATAGAGGATTTTACTTAAGACTTTTGATAATAAAACTCATTGGACTCCTCATATATAAAATGTATATTACCAAATTGTGTACTTATGGAGTTGATTTAAGCTAAAACAAAAAATGGCATATGTCCAAACTAACATTTTTTGTTTGTTGTCAGGGCTTTCTTTTTTATATAATTTTTTATTTATTTTTTTCTTTAATAAAGAATTAGAAGTTTTAATTTTGTTTCTTTTATGTTTAATTTAAATTTATTTTCAAACTTTACTTTTTTTTAGTAGTTTATATCTAGGTGTTATTCTCAAATAATATGTTGCAGATGGCTTTGTTAACATCTGAGCTTTGTTATTAAAAAGTTGCTGTAGTTTTCAATAGCATTAATTTTGTGTTCATTTTACTTGTATTTACATTTGTGTAAACTTGAGTGGCTGTTAAATTATTATTTAAATGTGTAATTACATATTGTAATAGCTATCTGTTTGTCTTAAGTAAATAAACCTTTAGCTATTTATAACTATTCCTATTTAAATTCAATTTCACAGATAGGATATATATGATGCAGAGTAAAGTTTATTGAAAGAAATTATAATCTAAAAAAATAATGTTTAGAATGAAGACAATAAATGAAATAAGGAAAGCTATAGAAAATCAGTATAAAGAATGGAAATGGTTCAATGGAATGCCAGAATTATATAGAAATTGGTAGAGGATTGTTACAAGTGATCGACAAAATAGATTTATCAGGAGGCCAAAATAATATATATAACTAAGGCAGGAGTTAAATAGACTCCAGAAATCATATGTATAAGGACCCATTAACATGGTTCTCAGTACTTAAGGTCTTTTTTCCTACTCTACACAGCACTCAGCATGAATATAGATTGTTTCAGATAATATGGTACACCCCACCAAAACCTAAAGTATTAAAAATGTGTGAATTATTAGGTCTTCATTAATGTTAGACACAAACAAGTACACATTAATGATTAGATATTGAACTTAAACAAATACAACAATTTATCCTTTGACAAGTGGCTATTTGCTGTTAAATAAGGTGCTGCTTAAGCATTTTGTTAACATCATGTCCTTCCTGTCAGACAGACAATTCAATTATGATGACCAATTAGGTCAAAAAAATTACTAAAACTATAGATTTGATATTATACCAAACAAAAAATTTTAAATGAAATAATATAAAAAAAAAAAAATTTATATTCTATATTTTTCTTTTATAATTCATTTCTTAATTTGAAAGAAAGTAATAAAAGACTACAAGTAAAACAGATTTGTAAAATGTTTTAGTTTAATGGATAAGGCAATTAGTCTTCAAGTCAAAAGTAAGACAAACACTGAGAAGTATTATTTTAAAATAGATATGAAAAAAGGAAAGTGTACATATTATGTAATTTTTTTGCAATGAGTATTCTCAAATCACTATGCTATAAGAAAGCTATAAAATTAACCGTCTCTGACTACTGCTGCACTACTACTGATATTTCCTTAAAAACTCAAATGGAGAACAAATTCTGTATATGGTCAAATGTATTGAATTAAAAAGTTAGTAGTGTGATATGGTCAAAATTTACTTAAATAATATATTAGAAATATATTTACCACAAAGTCTTCCACTCTCATGATGATGTCCACATTCAGAACAAACTTTAATGTTATTTTTTGGCACCAGCATTTTCCATACATATTCAGGTGACCCATACTTTCTTTTCCATCTTTTTTCCACTGTTCTTCGGAATTTAGGGACAGCTAATAATATGCCATCTCCAATAATATCTCTAATTGATAGTTTTTTTACATGTTCTGGTGTTCTTTTATCATTGACATAAGCTAAGGCAAGTTCTGTAAGATATACCTATGTGTTTAGAAATAATAACTTAAATCTATTATTAAATATCAAATTTAAAGTTAGCAAATATATAGAAAAATTGCCAAATTTTCACTTCATCTTGATTAAAATAAATGCAGAAAATTATACCAAAGGCAGACTACACAGAAGTCATTTACTTAGTTAGCTGTCTCAATTGTTTCTGCCGTAAAGCAGCTGTACATAGGTATGTTTCGGTTTTTATGGTGGGATATAACAACAAAATTATAATAATAATTATCTTTATTAGCTTAGACACAATATAGTCAAAGATGTTACATTACTGAAAGAACTTTTGTATTTAGCTAACAATGTGATAGCATACAAAATTATTAAAGATATTCAATGAACATTTTTGTTTAAGAAATCTTTTAAATCATTAAAACTATTTATTATCAGCTAAGTATATATTCTTTTTTTAACTAAAGTTCCATTTAATTTAGTAAGTTTAGGTACCTTACTAATTATAAGATATAGAGGCATAACACCTTAGTCCTCGGGAATGACAACGCATGAAGAGTATAATGGGCATGTCGCCTATGTCGTGTACTATGTTATAAACATGGTACTGTTCATGTCGACAGGGGGTGGTTAATATTTTCTATCATGTGGGCTGTCGACTTGTTTGCAAAGTTGTAAAAAAAAACATAACCATTAAATGTGTTCTATTTTAAAAACTAATGTTCCAAGCATGATAGCTGCATTACTTTGGTGTATTGCAATACTTATGGCTAATATTACTTTTACCTTTTGGAGGACCTCCGAACATATTTTGAAAAATAATGCGTTCAACATTTTTTAGTATTTTTATAAAATTATAGATACGAAGATTGATCATTATTCGTTAATCTCTTGCGTAATTCTATATTTAAAGAAAATGGAAATGAGAAATAACTGAATTATTAAGTTGAACTCGATAAAGCGCTATATCAGGATCAGACTATGATCAAAAAAGTATATAACGACAGGAAAAGAGACCGCACTTCATACAAGCCACGTAAAACGATTTGGTCAGGAATATCTCACCAATCTGAACAAAATCCTCTTTTTTCTTGTTTGTGCCTATTTCCACTAGTTGACACTGTTGTCATTTCATCGTTTAACTAAACGTTGGCAAGATGTTTTCTGACTAAATCCATACATTATAAGCTAGTATGGAAGTTATACAAAACTGACTATGATGAGAATTAGTAAGTGAATTTTTTAATGGTTTCTACAGCACTGGAATCAGCGTAAAATGCATAAAAAAATTATTAGTATTGCCAATTAAAGTGGATCGGAAAATGCTAAAAAATTACCCCAAGGAATTTATAGTCGCCTACTTAAATGCAATATAGGGTATAATCGCCCAAGGAATATAACGTAAACCTTATATAACGTAACATATTTATAAAAAAACTGACTTCAACTGTATCAAAATAAAACCAAATTTGATAAAATTTCTAGAGACCAATTTATAAGAATATTATTTTATATAAAAAAAATCCAAATCGGTTTACCTCTGGCAGTGTTATGAGGTAACAAATATAAAAAAAATACATGCTGAAAATGAAGTTTGCTTTTGGAGGTTTATCAAAACCTGTGCTAGTTAAATATATCGTTTTATTTTGTTATATTATTCACATATACTTTGTAATTATTTTAGAAATTTTGTTTAATATACTTCGGAGATAGAGATGAGCGGCGGTAGTCAGTTACCATCGGGTGAGCCGCATGCTCGTTTGCCCCCTGTGTTGTAAAAAAAAAGGCATATTATTTCTTTTTGTCAAAAATCTAAAAATACATGGTATAAAAATAATTAAAAGATATTTTTAAAATTGTGCATTTAGATCCTCGTGATCTAAAACTATGCACATTTTCAAATAAATAGTAGTGTTAGTTGCTGGGATAAATTACTAGGATAGGTGGACAAGTAAAATAACATAAATTTTTTTGGTACATTGATACAGAACCATAAAAATCAGTTTTAGTAGCAGCAAATAAAATTCTTTTATTTCATATCTCACTGGAACGGAATGGACCATTTTAAATTTTTTTAAATCAATTTGGACCCCGTTACAAAGAAAATAAAAATGTTCATCTGTAATGTCTGTCGACCAATATTATTTAAAACTATTAAAAAATTAATTTGAATATCATTAATAGTTGTTAAGACACAGCATTATAACAGACAGATGGACAAACTCATAAAGTCGCACTTCGCCGCTGGATCACAGATGTACACAATGCTTTAAGTGCTTAACAGTCAAACACTGATATTTTTAATGTCAAAAATTCGAAGGGAAGAATGGATTATTAGTAACTATTATATTCCGCGACTCTGTCCGTGTGAATCTGTGTGTAAAGTATCCTACCTGCTAAGTTAGAATATAACTTACCCATATATTAAATTTCATTTAAATTTGTTCAGTAGTTTTAGCATAAAAGAGTAACAAACATCCATTTATCCCTTATTACAAACTTTCACATTAATTAAACAGAAAGGAGTATAGTGGCACCAATATTAGCAGTAGTACTAGAAAACATTATTTCTCGACGAATTCATTACGATAGGTCAACTGACTTGATTTCATCCTCATTTCATCATCTTTAAGTGGTGTCACCGCCAGTATATATTAATGGCACAGGCGAGATTATCATTGGCGTATTTAAGATCGTTTTCTGGAGGGGGGGGGGAGCTTCTTAAAAAATATGTATGTGTATCTACACTTATAGACGTGTTTATGAAGCTACGTTCGCATTCTGGAATGGGCACCAAACGATTCTGCTGTGAGCACGGTCCATTTAGTTCCCCCGGGCCCGGTTCATACAGTACAATTTCATTATCATCCATTAAAAAATGAGAAATTAGATGTATATCTATATGTATATATTTACTAAATGTTAAGTTCGTAAAATGTACCTGTGACTTGTTACGTTTTGAAAAATTGTGAGTAAAAGAGAGACAGAGTTTATACTTAAATAAATTAAGTGTTTCTTTGTATTAAGTCTAAATTTATTATTCACATAGAACCCTAGAAAAAAGTTAAGTCAGATAAGAAAAGATTTGGTTTTGTAAGGTAAAACTTTACTTACAAATTCGAAACCATGCTACAAAAACGATACGTCATGCACTATATGCATGCGCTTCCTATGAATTTTATATGTTTTATAGATATTAAATGAGAGAAAAGAATAAAGACAATTTGATAATTCACAGCTTGTTATCTTTTCTGCTGAGGTTCTATTAAAGCTACATAAAAATTGCATTATCATAATTTGACTATAAATGTTTTTTAAAGTTACTGATTTTTTTCGAAATAGCTTAAAGGCCACTTGACGCCAATTGCAATTTCGGTTATCCGATACCCTTCAAAATAGCTTAAAACGCAAAAATCGCCAAATCTGGCAGCACTGATCACATTAAAAATATATTCTAACTCCGAACTAAAATGTTGATCATGTAAAGATGTTCTTCAGTACTCACCGAAACTTTAGATTTAATTCGTAAAAAAATTTTTGAAAGATTCCAAAGCAAAATATAAAGTAGGAGTAAATATTTTAGAGATAGAGTGTTATGAAACGTGTTCTATTTATTTTTGTTCGCTAACAGAGCAATTTTCAATTAAGCAACCAAAAACATTGTGTAGTAGGCACTACAAAATCCATGTTAAATAGTTTTTGAAAATTGACAGATAATTACGACGTTGCCGCACTTTTGGAAGCTGAAGTTATTAAGGTTCCTAAGATTGAAATTTCTGGAACGCTCTTAAAAGCTGTGTGAAAATAAACAGATTTTTAACATAATCGTCACGAAGTAATGCACATTATTAGTGAATTTATAGGAAGTCATTCTCCCGAAAATAGGGAAGAAATGTAAGACTATAGTAAAATTGGTAAAGTATGTTGCGTAAACTAGCAACACTTTAAAATGGCGGTTGACAATCAGCTGTATGAAAGTGGGGAGGAAAAGGCGAACGTCTGTGTTTTATGTGTGTAATGTAGTTCATGTCCTCAAGCGTTTCGTTGCACTTGTAACTATGGCGTGTTTAAGTTCGAGTAGGCTCTGTGCTCGTGTTCAAGATAAGTTACTGTGTCAATTCGGACATAAAGTTCGAAGACAGACTGTATTTGTGAAACTCAAACCTCCTGGACCATCAGCATTGCGAATATTTGGAAAGACATATCAGGTTAGATATCAATTTTAAATATTTTTACATGTCGTTTATGAAAACAAAAAATATATATAACAATTCAGAATTTGTAATTTTCAATATATAACTAAACACAAGTTAAAATGTACATTGATTCTTAAGAAGGTCTTTTTACATAACACCAAGCATGACGGTAACCTCATTCACGTCAGCTGATTAGAGAAATGTAGACTTTACTGAATGGGACAAACAAGAATATAGTAATTTACAGTTTTAAAATTATAAATTATATGGAATTGAAGTTAAATTAGGAATATTTATTGTTAGTGATAAAAGTGAAATCTCCCTGAGGTCGTGGACAGTGGGTCGCTTCACACTCGCCGCTGGTTTCTTGAGTTTGTTCAATGATTTTCACTGTAGTTATGTAGGTATTCATAACTTTTACTTTCTTTAAACAAGGCGATGTTGTCTTAAGGTACACTTGTTGTTTTGATTTGATGCTAAAAGTCCTAATTTTTTTATAAGTACCCTACTTTTTTACCCGCCTTATTCCTGTCTTCTACTTGGAAAATACGAAATAGGTCCTTAATTTTTAATTATTGACCCTTTACTTAAAAGTGCATAGCTCTTATACAGATTATGTACAATGTACTTACCAGATAGGCGCGAAGTATAAATTGAACGAAATCGTTTGTAGGTACTTAATAACATAGGTACTAGTACTCTTATATTGAAGGCTACGACAAATTAGAGTCGTTAGAAGTTACCTAGTCCTATTGCTGTTCAAATATCACTGTTTATTTTCATTTTTATTAAAACAAAAAATAAATATACTTGTTTAATTTATGGCTATTATAAATAAATTATGTACGTATAATAAATGTAAATTTTTTTAAGGGAATTAAGTTTAAAGGGGTTTTAATTTTATATAGAATATAATAAATAAATTAATAATATAATTATTGTTATTAATAAATTCACTACACAGATGGATCATTACTTAAGTAGTGGGCAAAGTCCCGTGATACAAGAATTATGTCTTGGACTATTTTCCGGTTATTTTTTATTTATTTAAGCGAATAAGAGTATCCACTGACCGAAGCTAGTGTCAGTTTTTGTGAAGGTTGCATATGTAACTATTTTACGTAGGTATTTTACTGACCCATACCAATTCTTAACGTGAAAGAGTTTGTGTTATAAATATGAGAGTAGGTCTCAACACAATTACCTATATGATGTGAACCCGAGAGTAGGACTCGACAGCAACAAGTCCGCACCGCGCGTCGTGCTTTCTCGAGCAGCGTGCGAGCATGCAATGTCCAATCTCATCGACTAGCACAAAACTTTCTAAGCAACAATTATTTTTCGCATTAATATTTCATTTGCTTCTTCAATCGCAACTCATTACTAGCTGATTTCTTTGAATTTACTCTACTGTTGTCTTTATTCACGTTATTATTTTCGAGGAAAACTTACTAAAGTAGGATAATTGAAATTAAAAAACAAAACTTTCATCTATCTACGAATGTAGATCGTATTTTATTAGTAATTATCGATCTGACTCGACTTCGCACGCGTAGATAGAATTTTCGAAAATATATAGCCTATGTTACCCGTTGACAAGCTTCACCTGTAGGTGAAAGAAGGAATAAAATCGGTTGAGTAGTTTTGGGTTTTAAACAAATAAACAATCAAATCTTTCTTTATGATATTAGTATACAAAGTTGACCCGGCAAACGTTGTCATGCTACCTACCGCCACTTACCGGGTGCATTTCTTTCTTATATAAAAACTATTCTATTTTTTAAGTTCGAACAAACAAAGGACAAATTGGACGGGACAATTTTTTTTATTATTATTTCAGCCATTAACTGTCCACTTCTGAACATAAACTTTCCCCATAAGTGGAGTTTGGCCAGTAGTTGCCAGGCTTGACAGGCGGGTTAGCAACCGCAGTTCGGCTTTTAGAGATATTTTAAGAGGGACATTGCTACCCATCACGCGTCGTCCTTTAGTCGATTCTTACGATACCCACGGGAAAGAAAGGGATGGCCTATTGTATGCATATCGGGATCACACGGCGGCAATAGACAGGACAATGTTTCATTGAAATCTGTTGAGTGGTTTCGGAAACTAGCTGGAATGGCTATCGTGAATCTTGATAAGTATGACTAATTTTATAATTATGTCTATATACATATACAACGGGAACACATACGGGAAAAATAGTAAGTTCATAAAATTCCTGTTGTATGTACATGCATATATAAACATTGTCAAAAAATGAAAATGTTATATAAATAATTATTTAATAATTAATTAGTAGGCAAGTATCTCCCCACCTACCTACTTATTTAATTAGTACTTAAATGTATTTGTCCTAGCAGGTGCCTAAATGAAACTGACATTCCTAAATTTTAAGAAAGAAACTGATAATGATGCAAAGCACTGTCTTTTACTTTATCGATTCCTCAAGTATAATTTGATTCATACAAGTAGGAAAGTAAGAATGTAGGTACATACAGTGTCCACTAATAGTGAAAGTTGTGTGATGATTCGTTGAAATTTTAATATCTCCAAAACTGAGCAAGTAACTTCTCCAAGGAGTGTTATAGCCTTTCTTATTCTAGTCTATTTAACGGGCCTATTTTTTTAATGGATGATAATGAAATGGTAACGCTAATGGTATACGCTGGCGGGGCACCAGTGAGGGATGATAAGTGAAATAGAAATAGTAGGTCAGTTAGCCCATCGTGATGAATCCACCCGGGAACGGGCCTATTAATATGGTGGTATAATTTTGGTCCAGGAAACTATTAATTTCCTGCAGTTAGGTTAGATCTTTTTTTGGCTAATTAGAACAGCTTAGAAGTTCTCTTGATTGTATCGGTTTCCTTTGTACTCTAAAAAGTATTTAAGTGAGTGATAACTATAAAATGTGTAAATAATATAGTGGATACTGTATATATTTACGGACCATATTACCGGTATCGTAAATTAACGTATATAAATTTTTCAAAATCTATTCCTAGCGTAATTCACGCAAGTGAAGCTGCAGATTATGGACCCAAAAATATTTATTAATTTTTACATTTATAATATTTGTACGATTATTTATAGAAAACATTTAAAGCTCTAATACTGTTTATTATCGTATCTGTTATTTTTCACTAACTTGGTTGGTTAATTATGTAATGAATTCAATTATTTACTCGTATTATTATGCATGAGTAAAATGAAATATACGAACTTTCTTAATTTCTTTAATTTTAATAAACATCTATTAACTTGGGTATCTAATATATATATATATATATATATATATATATATAAAATTAGGGGTGGGTCACCCTTATCATTGAGGGGTATGAAAAATAGATGTTAGCCGATTCTCAGACCTATCCAATATGTACACAAAATTTCGTAAAAATCGGTAAAGCCGTTTCGCAGGATTTTGGTAACAAACACTGCGACACGAGAATTTTATATATAAGATATAATTTATATTATTCTCTTCCTATTACCTTGAGATGTTGTTTTAAAACAAGTTGCAGGTTATCATTTAATATTTGGCTCCTGCTTTATATTTTCCTTTAGCCGAATAAATTGTTCGAAATACCTTTGTCGTGCCGCACGTAACGTCCTGCGTAAATGAAGCTCAGTAGAAATGCGGAACACATAACTATTTGTTCAGTCGACATTATTGTATAAGAGTTTGTGGCAACACATACTTACATTGTAACATATATATGTTATTTTCTATTTACATTTTCTTAAATCCTAAATTACGTGACGATAATAGAAAGGGCAGTGTCAGATGTGAATAGGAAATATTTGTTTAGTTTTATGTAACATTTTTAATTGTTATTACAATAATTTAAGCACATAATTAAAAATTATGACTGTGTTATATATTATAAGCAATTGTTATTATATTACAATGTAACATATAATAAATTTTATTCTATAATTTTTAATCAGTAGATAAGTTTTTTTTATACAACTAAGAATGGCAAACAAGCAGACGGCCCACTTAATGGAAAGTGGTAACCGTCGCCTATAGACATGAGCAGTACCATGGACATAACAGAATATACTGTTTCGCCCATGATACCCCCCATGCGTTGCCATTCCTGAGGACTCAGGTGTTATTCCTCTGTACCCAGTAAATTCACGCCATATCCCACCCTTCAAACCGAAACACAGCCATGCAAATACAACTGCTTCACGGTTAAAACACGAATGGGACAGACGTACCCAAGGAATCGAAGGTAGTTATAGTTTAGGTACTACTTAAACTATAAGATTTATTTTCTATACAAGTAAAAAATAATATTACATACAATATAATATGGTATGTTTGGCCTGAAGTTTTTATTTTTATCAATTTTCTTAATAAGTTTAAAAACTTATGTAACGTAATGTACTTAATCATTATTTACTTCGATCGCGTTTAAATTTTGAAGTATTGTAAATGTAATAATGTTTTAATTGCGTAAAATTGTTAGAGTTTAGATATTCTCGCGTGGGATAAAGATTGTGACACGTAGAGACTACAGCCTTGGATCAGCCGGTGACTGTTTTTCTATATGGTATAATTATATTATTTATTAATAAATATACATTTTACATCGCAGCCACAAGTTATAAATTCGCGGCCGTAGTACAGTACATAATATTATGTTTAATAAATTTTTCTTTAAAGCAAATAAAAGCAACAGCCGAATTATTTTCCCATTTTTTCGAATTGGGCAGTAGAATTATAAAAATGATATTTAAAATTGTTTAAAATTAAATTTACTTGTTTGCAAACTCTTACGTGAATTGTACCGGAACAATATGGAATGCCTTATGAGAAAGTAAATATATATTAAAGCGAATAAGCAAAGTATACATAAAAAATTCGGTTTTGTCGGTCAATTGTTTTTTGAGTAGATCTTGATATATTTCTTACATCGATATTAAGTTTTTGCGATTACGAGAATGAAGATAGAGACTCAGATACTAAAGTACAGATATTTTTAACATTTTAACCG